AAAATAATTTTTTTTTTTTTTTATATATCTATAAATATCCTATATAATATACTTCTTTTGTTTTATTTTTATTTTGTTAATATTGAGTATAATACAATTCATTAACATAGCGTGGATAAATGTTAGAATTTTATTAGAAAATTCATTTTTTATAAAAAATATATACATAATACTTATAAAATATAAAAATAAAAATCAATATTTAATATTAAAGATTATCTGCAACTGTAATCATAACATTTTTTAATCATATTCAATTAGTTTATTTGAATCTAAATTACAAGTCGATATAATTTATATTAATTTATAAAAAACCTTTGACAGCTACGACTATATTTTTAACAATTTGGTATGTCCTATCCCTAACCTACTTGGTTTACTTTCTATTTTACAGGATGTATATGCATATAACATTTTTGAAGATATATAACTATTTATCTGCTCCAATGTTTGCATTAACAGGTGTTTTAGAGTGGACATTTCTTACATTGTATATTTTAATGCATTTATTGATGATCTTAACCAAGATTTTCCACATTTAATTTTTTTTCTTTTTGCGGATGACATAAAGTTATTTAAGGGTATACAAATACTGCAGATTATGAAATATTATAAAATAACTTGAATAACATTACTAAATGATATTCCAATAATGACCGTGCCATTAACGTTTGTAAAATATCTAATACTATATCTTTCCGTGGATCCCGATCTGTAATTGATTTTCTTATTACAATAATTCTATCCTGATTATATCATTTGATTAAATTATAGACCTTGGAGTAATTTTCTCTTCTAATTTATTATTTTTTAATCATGTTGGTTATGTATACAAAAAAGCTTTAAAACCCTTAGATTTTTAATGCATATTATTCAAGATTTTATAATATAAATGCTTTGAATGCGTTATATTTTAAATTTTTTAGTTAAGTGTCTCGTTATTGAGTTTATATTATATTCTTTTTAGTATCTTCAGTACCCATTACAATTTATTAAACGATTAAACAAAATGTATAATTAATATTTAAGAATATTTTCGTTTCACTGTGCAAAATCTGTATCAATTAAATCGTTTGTAAATAGACAAAGCTAGTTTGATATTATCTCGTCTGTTTATAAATTATTGCATGGGTTAATTGACTCTCCAAATTTGTTATTTCAACTACCATTATTTGTTCTAACCATTAATTAAAGTCATATACAATCCATTTACTTCTAAAATAAATTTCTACGTTACTAATATTGAGTAGACAAACTTCTTGATCGCACTTTGTGCCATATTAATAATTTGTGTGATATTGATTATTTTTGTACTTTTTTTTTTCATTCACGCCCTTTATCTATTTAGTTTTAATGTTTTCCTATCCCTCTAGGCATTCAAAAAATATAAATACTGTTTTGACTAGCAATTTTGAGTAAATTTTAAAACAACACGAGTATATAAACTTTACCATAATATTATATTTTATGTATGTATTACATTAACAATTTTCAGAGTGATAAAAATCGAATAGTTAATTAAATTATGTTTTACACTTTAAAATACTAATATTTTTGATACGATGTAAACTATTTAAAGAACTTAAGAGTCGGTTGAATAAACATTTAAGTGTAATAGCTACTTATGGTTTTAAAATATATGTATATATACAACTCTCTATTCTGTCAATAAATCTAACATTTTGTGTACAATTTATTAACAATAATCGCATGAAATAATTGTTAAAATTAACTTTTCTGTTACAATCCTAATATTATTTTTAGAAATATGCATAAAAAGAGTCTAATTAATTGATATAGTATAATTAAGTATTATAAAATTTGATTTAATGATGTATTATTTTTGTAATGATATGCGATAAGTAATAGTCAAATAATATGTCAAGACTTAAGAGTATATACACATTCCTAATTTGTTTATTATATTGAGCATCAAATTTTTGAATTATTCTAATTAGACGCTGTGAAAATTATATTCTAATCAGTTGTAATTTTTGTATCAAATTAATTTTCCAATTATTTAAGTAAACCTTTATTTTAGTCCTTTATATTTGATCTATGGACGTAATTTAATTAATATCCGATGACTCTGTCGATAATTGATGAAATTGTTTCCAAGTAATATGATCACGAAATATGAACAATTTTGGAGATAAATATATTATAGTTTATAATTTATTAACTAAATTAGCGATAACATTAAATGTAATATTTAACCTAAACATTTAAACTTAATAATTTTGAATTAATTTAAGATTTTTTTAGTATCCAATAAAATTAAGTGATATTTCCCTCGTTATAAGTTACAATAAACTCGTAACCATGAAATAATTCAATCACTGGATAACTTAATATTTCTTGTAAAATAGACATTTATTTTATTTTGAAAATTTTAAATAAGACATTATGAGCTATAACCTTAATAAAATTTTATATTTTTTAGTATACTTATGTTAATAATATATATTATGAGGTATTAAATCAGACACTTGATATAATTCAGTTTTTAAGTTAAGTATTTATTCTGTATATTTCAACAAAATAAATTATAATGGTAAAACTAAAAATTATGCCTTTCTCTTTTTTCAACAATATTATGTAATATAGGTGTATAATAAAAATTATAAAGTATTCATTTATTTACACATCACATAATACTTAACAAAATACAGCGAAACCTCTAAATATTAGAGACATTCTCAGTCATCAATATTTTTCCGTTATTTATATATGGTGGAGGGGCAAATAATAAAATAAACAATATCTAAACATATCAAAAACATTATATACACAGGTATATCTAAATTATTTGTATGTTTGAATATACTTATTTAATATTATTTAAAACAAGATCAGTTACCGGATGAGATGGTCATTTCCTACGACGCATAAGATGATCTATAATAATATAATAATGTATAAAAATGAAAAATATTCATTGTAATAAAATATACTTAGATGAAAATTATCAAAATCTAGCCATAAAAGTATTCATTATTTAGAGGTATCAGTGTAGGGAGGTTTCGCTGTATATATTTAATTTTAATTTTTGATAAATCATCTATTTAATGCACTGTATTGTGGGGTTATTGGACATTTGTCTATGCTGTGATAAATACATTCGCGTCAAAGTCCATATCCAAACTCATCATCCGTCGATGTCTATCATCGAATACATATTGAATCGGCTACAATATAAGACAAATGTTATAGTAATAATAACGAGCACACAACGTATACCTATACTAAAAACCAATATATACAACGATACTGGATTATTTGACATAGGATTACTTATTTGATACTCCAAACGTACCCGAAACACCCAAATTTTAACGAAATATTATAAAAAACATATATATTCTTTATTAATAAAGTTTAAATATTGAAAAAAAGTATGGAACCGTACATTTCTACGAAACGACCAACGAATAATATCGGTGATTTTGTGCATCCTACATGTCGACCGCCATATAATTCTAAGAAAAGTCAGCATATCCGAGCGAATTTTGATCAGTAGAGTCATTTTACCACTTATCAATACAACGTATTATATAATATAAACTAATGAATGACAAAACAAAAACTTTGTAAGATCGAGATTATCAGATTAAAATATGATATCATGCCCACAGACGCAAACAATGGAAATCAAAATAAAGTAAAAACGCTACGATCAAGAATAGGTCGATGAAAACGACACTGATAAAACAGCTACAATAACATTCACGTAGAGACTAAGTATACGTCTTCACCGATGTGACATTAATAGAATTAAATATATTCGACTTGTAAGTAACGCGATGCCGACTTTTAAATACATGGAACATGATACGATTCGTTGTAGTGGAAGCCCAACTCGACCGACAAGAAAACATCGTGGTTATCCTTAGATACACCATAGACAATTTTATTATTATGGTCAGGCCATGCGTGTTTAAGTTCTCGCAAGTTTTTTTTGCGATAAAGATATACAGCCTTTTTTTTTTTTTTAACGCCCATCCAAAACTTTTAATGTGTGATTCTTTCTATAAATCCATCGTTTTCTAGAAAAGTCACAATATATTATATTAAACATATTAAGGATTTATTATTATGCGTGATAACGCAATCGTAATTTCGAATTATTCATAATAACCTAATAAGATATACAGATCGTGTATGTTAGATATACCACGTTATTACATTTGTGTGGCAGACAGTGGTATAATATTAATAGATATTGTGTAAATTCGGAGGAGTAAAATACAGGCAAAAGCAAATTATAGTTCATGGTTATATTATGGCGTTATAGTCTTTTGGTAACAGTTAATGTATTTCGCATAGAATGATATCCTTTGATAATGTAGCATCAATCAAGATGTATACGTGCATTTTTTATGCATATAGTTATTATAAAATAATTCAATATTTCACGTTTTAATATTATTATTCAAAAATTTTATAAAAAAAAATAACTCTCTTGCATATATGTTATTGATCTGTGGCATAATTCATTTTAAAATTGAAAATTTGTATATACTTAGAATTTTTTTAATGTGTTTCGATTTGGAAAATTACTTTTTAGTGTGTTTTATCCAATAAAATAATATTCCTAAGTGTTGTTGTGAAAAAATAGAGATTTCTTTCTAAACGTGATTAAATGTTTTAATTATATAAACAGTATACACACATATTATATGTGTTTTTTCAAACAGATATCAGTATATATGTCTACGCGATACATCAGTATAATAATACATAGTGTATAATGTATAATGTATATGGATAAAATATATTTAAAATAATTGCATCTGTTTGATGGAAGTTTTGTAACAGTAGATTATTCTTTCACTAGTTAAATGTCACGAGATTACGTATATGATCGTTTGTTTTATAATGTATATGAGTTAAAAACCTAGAGAGGATGTCGAGTCAACATTGCCAAACGGCTGGGCGGTGGTCGGCAAATCGATAACATCGCACAATACCACGGTAATGATTAATGAAGAGCGGCTTACCGACTATAAAAAGCGACTCTACGACCACGTCGCTGACCATGGACGGTTTGTCCGTGTTGACGAAACTGGCGTTGTATGGTACCACGATCGCAACGTAAAACGTAGCTATCAATATCAGCCAATCCCAGCAAGTTTTGAAAACCCCGTAATGCGATAATACCCATCGGGATTTTTTCAGGGCTGACGTTTTGTATTCCGGTAGCGGTGCAGATGAGCCCTGCAGCAATGTCTGTGGATAAAAATAAAAAACAATAGAATAATATAAAATAAATACGACAAGCATATTACACGATAATTCACATAACTTTTCAGGTTATGGGTGTTAGATTTTTGCAAGGACCGCGTGCCTATGCAGGTGGTGGATATGATGTTTATTGTTGTTATAGTATATCTGTGTGTAAAATTACACATTTAGATTTGAGCAATCCAGTCATTGATAAAGGGTATACGGTGGTAAAAGATGTGTATGCCATAGTGAAAAGTGTCGTCACCTTTTGAATGAGAGAGCTAAAGCCATTTTTAAAAAATACCGCAAGTTCGTCTACTTAATTCCCATTGCGTACAAGTATGATAGCATAGAAAGTGAACGTCTCGGAAAAAAAACGGTATTTTAAATTTCTTTTTTTAAATGTATGTAAAATGGTATCATCATCTTTGAATAACGATTCCGACTAGGAATACCCTTTTGTATTGGGTTTCCAGGTTTTTTACACAAATACGAATAGTTTACGATAATATAAAATATTCGATATAATCTTAAGTGATTATAAAATTGACAACATACATGTAAGGTTTTATTTATATCAATGATAACGCAATATTAACACTTTCACTAAACTTTATATTCTTGGAAATTTCTTATACATAATATATTGAATTGGTTCCAAACGTCAATATTAATACTTTGGTAGATTGCAATTATATCTTATTTACCGAAATTTTCATCAAAATTCCTGAAAATTTCACTAACAATAAGCTTTTTTTATTTCTAAAAAAAAAAAAAAATTATTTTTTACTTTTTGGCTTTTATAAATAATAATAAAAAAACAGTTTATTTTACCTAAATCACTTGAGAATGATTTGAAATAAAGAAGACATAACACGTATAATTATATTTGTTGCTAGTGAATTTCATAAAATTGCTGTTACACTCAGCTCTGACATAATGACCTTTATAATGAAATAGGTATGGGAATACAATTAAAAATATGTTTCTATAGGTCTGAAATTTAATGCGAATAAATTGAAAACGTGACGCAATTTTAAAAACATAATGCCAGGTGAATTTGCACAACGTATTTCGAAGATGTTGCTAAGAAACATATGCGATGCGTTGTGCGCGCGTCAGAGGAAATTAAACTATGATACCAGGACAAAAGTCAAACGTCAAAATGAATAATATCAGTAGATCAGTTGATCCCTAAACATCTGAATAGTATTAATGGTAATTCTACAAGAATAACCATGTAGGAAATGGAATAGGTTTCTGGTCATGAAGATATTTCTTCAGCTCAAAGGTGAAATCGTTATATTTATCATCTACTTATATCTATATCCATATTTTCTTAAAATTTAAGAAAAAAATTTTGCAAACTATAAGGTTTTCATATGACAGTTTGCTAAAATTGTGAAAAAACCAATATTCGTTTTTATAAATTTATGAAGGATAACAATTTGTTGCTCCAGTTTAATGGTTAGTAAAATTACCTGTACAATTATAAAAATAATATTGGTTTAAAAACTATCAAACTTATTCGAGTCAATAGAGAACAATTTATACGTTATAATACCACTATAATTTAACAATCCACATTGAATAAAATGCATGACAATGTTTTATTTAATATTTTAATATCTAAAATAATTGATATATCTATCTACATTACACCTTGTACTTATGTGTTGGACATTGTATTCGAATAAAAATAAATATATTTATAAATCATCAAAAGTGCTTTCCTCTAATATTATTTTTCATAATGCAATGAATTCACTGAGATATATTAAATACTTAAGTATTCGATTTATTTTTGTACATATTTTATTATAATATAATAATAATAGGTTTAAATTTACATTTTTTTTTAATTAGATTTATTTGAAAATTATACAACATGGTATCATATGAATAAAATAATCAAGAGTATGTTGAAATGATAAATAATAAATATTAATATAATGCTAAATTATTTAAAAACAAGGCAGGTTTTACTAAAAAAAATTTACTTTTATTTAATAACATTTTGAAAATAGATATTTACTAATTTTGATATTTAAAAAAAAAATATATTTTTTTTCATAAACTATAATATTATACAGAAACAATTTAAACAAATAAATAATTTTTTGATTTTTTTTTTTTTAACACACAAATACTTACACATTTATAGATGATAATAATATTTTATCAAATGATAATTAAAGAATAATAAAACGTATGTATTTTACCGAGACAACATTATTTTAATCATGTTTGTATAAGTATTTGTGTTGTATAATTATTATGTATGTATAATTATTATCAAAGTAATAATAAATAAAGCTACCTAACTGAAACCTAGTGATAAATAATACAAAAATTAACTTTGATTTATCGCGGGGCAGTAATCAAATTTTGAGTAGGCAGATCATAACGCTTTTATCGTATTAAAATTGGTTTTCAGTTATTAAAATATTTAATGGTTTTCGAATTTATACGCGCACGTGTCTACTTAACACCAATGCAAAATTGTTATGTATTTATCAAATAAGAAAACCGAGAGCAGTGTACTAATTTTTGAATTATATTCATTTAATTTTTCAATTTATTTGGAACTGCAAAGTTCAATCACAATTGATTTATTAATAAATTGAAATGTGAAAAATGTCTCCGTTATAATGGAGCTTTTTGTTCATGCCAAAGTTAATTTAACTACATAATGGTATATCATATCGTAGGATATAGAGTAATATTAATAATATTATTATGATATTGTCTTAAATATTTCAATAGCAAAATTACGATCGCACAGTTTACTTTTCTGATCGGTTTAAATAAAAAAAAAAAACACACAAGCTATAATAGTGTCTAAAATACATAATTTGGTATGGTATTTATGCTAAAATCTGCTGCCAGAGTATATCATGCATCACTTGATGTAGCTTAACGTATTAGCTGATATTTATATTTTACTGTAATAAAAACTTCCCAACTTTCGACTTTTTTGAGCAATGTCTTTTCGTCAACATTACTGGTAAAAACTATTAGTATTTTGTTAACACAATGGTGTAATATATTCTTTACCAATTATATAATTTGACAAATGTGAAAATTATATTCCGAAGGCTAATAGATAACAACCATAATGCGAATCACCTAAAACGCTTACCTTTATTTTTTCTTTAGTAATTAATTAATTAAAATTAAGACTTTTTAATTATTTTTGTACCATGTAATGAATTTTCAATTTTTCAGATTTTTTATACCATTTAAATAGTGTCCTGTAACGATGTAAACATTTTTCTTTCAAGTGATAACGAACCTGTTTTATTATTACATGATATTTTAGGTTTCATACTTTATAATTCTAAATAAATATTTTAACGAGTAGTTACTGAATCTTCAGAATATTTATACAAAAACTGATATTCCTTTAGGCGGTTTTAAAAATATATGAGTTAGATTTAATATTAAATCAAGTTTTTATCATATTCGGGAAATATTATAAGATAATAAAATATTGATTAACTCATTCTAATTTCTGTAATTTTTCAAATAATTTCCAAACTTTTTACCATCGACCAATTATAACCCTTAGTATATAAAGTTAAATAACTCAAAACTTATACGTTAATATTTAGATTTAAATAAATCAACATTTTCAAAAAAAAACTATTTACTCAGCAATTTACAGGAAAAATAATTAAATTATCATTTGGAAAAACAAATAATATTTGGTATCGCTACAGGAGTCTTCTTAAAAAAAAAAAAAAAAAAACTGAATAATTGAAAATATGGTGCTTAAGTATGCTAAAAATTCCAAAAAACAGAGTTAGAATAAGCTCGTTATTAAAATAAAATATGAGAGATGAGCGTGCTTGAATAATTACCTTATATATTATTCTAGCAAAAAACTACTTCATAAAAATAATTATTATTTTATTTTTTTAGTGTAGTTAATAATTTTGGATACTTAATAGCCCAATAAACACTATGAGATATTTTATGACGTTAATATAATGTGACGAACAATGGTGTTCGAGACAATATAACTTATTATTATTTATGCATATAAGTACGTATTAATTTTTTTTTTTTTTACAATTGACTATTGTTTTAAATTGAACTTAATAATTATATTCACATGGTTCACTAAATTTAGAAGCATGCAGACACAAACAATTAATTAAGTAAAAATTATAGTCAGAGAAGTTTGTGACAAGACCGATAAATTATTTATTGGTAAACTAATTAAAATGTACATAGAAATTCAAATGAAAAATATTTTTAAAGACTGATACGATTAGATTTTTGTTAAAAGGAGTAGTTGTTGATAGTTTAAGAAGGTAAAAATGTAGAAACCTAACGTTTTTTATTATATTTTTAAACTAAAAGAATAAAAAAATATGTGCTATACTCGTATATGTATTTATTTGTTATAAATTATTATTTAGATTTGATGTCCAATGAAATCATAATTACTTTTATTTTAGTAACTAATCATTAGGTTTCAAATCATTTAATATTAGATTTGACAAGAAATTAGGTATTTCGAATAATATACCATGATACAAATGTTTTCTTACAAGTTTAGGATGAGGACCAAATTGAATAATTATTAAAGTTGTCTTGAAATACAATATTAATCACAACTGTACTGACATATAAACAAAGGAAATTATACATAGAATTCCTACATTAAACATATTGAGTCGAGTATTTCACCAAATACAATTTACTTTTTTTAGAGTTAACGCACAATGATAACATTCTTAAGAGACTCGAGTACCTGAATACGTTTACTAATTTTAACCTTTGATGTGAATATTATAATAATTTAAATAAACGGAGAAGATACAAGAGGCGCTTATAGTGAGATTACATAAAACAAATGATCGGTCACTAACTAGTTATGTTGACCAATGATATAATTTTCAAATCGATATCGTTTAGTTTTTCTCGATACGTATTGCGATATATCCATGTAAAATACTAAAATATTTATATTTTATGCTATTGACATTAAACAA